ACTTTTTCATCTTGCAAAACTGAAACTCTGTATCCATTAAACAGTAACTCCCCATTTCCCCCAACAGTTTATTTTTACAAAATAAATACAGAATGTTAATTTATTATTTTTCAATGAGAAATATAACTTGTTCAGCACATCATTTGCATTGGTTTAGCTACATTGCCAAGCTACATGAAAAGCCAAATTATCAGAAAGCTGCCTGATAAGCTTAGAATCAGACTAGGGGGAGTAAATAATTTAATAAGAGTAGACTGATAGATCCATTTCCAAATTAGGAACATATCTACCATGCAGTTATGTACTGGCATCTGGAAGAATATCCTTTACCTGAGCAGTATTGGAAATTCTTATGCAGTGTTTGCCTCCTGTGGTTACAAGACTCACTAGCCTCCCCATCTCCTTACAGCTGGACAGATTCTTTCAATAGATTCATTAAAATACGAGCATATTTCAGCGATACTGCAGATTTAGTTTCAGACCACAACAGTAAAGTAAATACCACAATAAAGTGAATCACACGAAGTTTTTGGTTTCCCAGTTCATGTAAAAGTTATGTTTACACTATACTTGAGTCTGTTAAGCATGCAATAGCATTATGTCTAAAAAGCCAATGTACATACCTTAATTTAAAAAGTCTTTTTTGCCAAAAAATGCCAACAATCATCTGAGCCTTCAGCGATTTGTAATTGTTTTTCTGGTGAAGAGTCTTGCCTTGATGTTGGTGGCTGCTGATTGAGAAGTGGTTGCTGAAGGTTGCTGTGGCTATAGCAATTTCTTAAAATAAGACAACAATAAAGTTTGCCACAATAACTGACTCTTCCTTTCGTGAAAGATTTCTCAGTAGCATGCATTCCTGTTTGATAACATTTTATCCACAATAGAACTTCTTTCAAAACTGGAGTCAGTCCTCTTAAACCCTGCCACTGCTTTATCAACTAAATTTATGTAATATTCTAAGTTTTTTGTTGTCATTTCAACAATGTTCACAGCAGCTTCACCAGGAGTGGATTTTATCTTAAGAAACCATTTTCTTTGCCCATCCTTAAGAAGTACTCCTTATCTATTCAAATTGTATTATGAGATTGCAGCAATTCAGTCACATCTTCGGGTTCCACTTCTGATTCTAGTTCTCTTGCTCATTCTGCGGCATCTGCAGTTACTTCCTCCAGTGAAGTGTTGAACCCTTCCCTCTAAGTCATCCTTTAAGATTGAAATCAACTTCTTCCAAACTCCTGTTAATGTTAATATTTTGACCTCCTCTCATGAATGATGAATATTCTTAATAGCATCTAGAATGGTGACTCCTTTCCATGATTTTAGTTGACTTTGCCCAAATCCGTCAAAAGAATCACTATCTATGGCTACTATAGCTTTATGAAATGTATTCCTTAAATAATGAAACTTGAAAAGTTGAAATTACTCCTTGATTCATGGGCTGCATAATGGATGTTGTTTTATCAGTCATGAAAACAACATTAATCTTGTACATCTCCATCAGAGTCAAGTGGCCAGGTGCATTGTCAGTCAGTAGTAATATTTTGAAAGGAATCTTTTTTTCTGAGGAATTGGTCTCAACA